CAGTCATGTGATTGCATTATGGGTACTTGGTAACCGGCTCACATTTACAATCAGTTGGTAGAGGTCCTGTGGCCACATGATCACATTTTGCAACACTTTTTGCCATTTTCCAGCAAAAAACACCCATTAGAGAACCTGGATTCGGACTTAAAAACCAGGTGATTCACTTAATCACGATGACCTACTTATCAACTCATGAAAACATTTGTGAAATTGAATCCAGTCACATGACTCAACAATGTATGACCAAAATTACAGACTCATTTGTGTTCATAAGTTGGGGATTACCTACATAGGAAGTCACATGCTTGGTAAAGACCTACTTGGAATGGAACAAGGAATGCTTGTCTAAACCTATGTACATTTTCCTTAACTCTGACTGGAATTAATATGGCAAGATCCATATGGACAGTAATAGGTTGCAGGTAGAATGTTGACTATTTTAGCCATAAAAAACCTCAATATGGGAAAAATCAATTGCTAAATTTTTTACATTACTTCAGATAAAATTCAGATGAAGGCTGTTTTTTTTTTAAAAAAAAAAAACCCTAGTTTTGGTTTACTATTTTGGCAGTTTTTCAGCTTCTTTGGACTATTTGTTTATTTGGGATCATAGTTTGATTGCTATTTGTGAAATCTTGCAGTTGCTAAAAGTTTTGGAAGAATAGATTGAAGCTCCTGTGCAAATAATCTACTTTTATAGGAAGTTGAAGAAAGATGATAACATAATTAACATGAATTTCATGTAAGCTTTGGGATAATGAGCATGGGTATTGTGCTTTTGTAAAGCAATGGAAGTTGGCCTTGAATAATATAAAATTTTAATTTTATAACAGAAGTACAATAGAAAATTCTGTTTCAGGTATATCTGGCACTTTAAAGAATGCTCAATAATAATGAGTTGCAGTTGCCTTGGTAGAAATAAAGCCCAGGCATTATAATCCTAACTTGGTATTACTGTGTTTTGAGCTAAAAGTCAAAGAATTATTAAAAAGACTTTGAATTGATGGTTATGGATAAAGATGTTCGAATATTACATCCCTAATATTTAAAACACTTGAAGACTGAAGAGTGGTGTTTCATTCATAGGGATGATAAAAGAAAGCAATGGACATTGGATGAATAAATCTATACCTGATTTGCAACAGTGGATTGCTGATCTGCAGTAACTGTCAATAGTAGATTTCTTGCTTGGCGTGTGTGTCCCAGGAACAAGAAGATGAGCAATTGGGTCAGTTTTGGGGAGTGTTTATGAAATAATTTTGCATAGTCTTTTTTTCCCATTTTTGAAAAATTATTTTATTAATACTATTATTGCACTGCATACTTTTCCCTGTTAATTTATTTGCTTTAGTTAAAAGAATTCTCATTGGAATGGAGGAATTTTGAAATATTAAGTAAACTTAATGGACTACTTTTTGATGTATGTATATTCCTGTTTCTGCCAAAGATCATTTAGGCCAGGGGTCTTCAAAATTGGCCCTTTTATGACTTGTGGATTTCAACTCCCAGAATTCCTCAGCCAGTGTGCCTGGCTGAGGAATTCTGGGAGTTGAAGTCCACAAGTCATAAAAGGGCCAAGTTTGAAGACCCCTGATTTAGGCCATTATGCTTGACTTTATTTTGCAGTAATTAGGCTTTGACTTGCAGAAAGCAGCTGAGGGGAGGGGGGAGCAAGTGGGAAGGAGGGATGAGTTTTGCTTTCACTTAAGAGGGCTGATGGAGGTTCTGAACATGCAGTATTGTTACACTATTTTCAACTGTCCTGTTAAGAGCATCTTGGCTTACTTAACGAAAGTAAAAAACAAATCTAGGTGGCTTGCATAAGTAAATCTGATTTATTGTAAGGGCAAAATCCAGGAACAGTCTAGTGAAAATGCAAAATAATAAGGAAGCAGGTGGGATTTCACAGCTTTCCTAGAAAATCATAATTTGGGATCTTGATAGAATGTTGTTTGTTGGGAAGTGTGTTATTTGGGTCAAGTGCAGTTGATTGGCTGGCAAAGCCAATGGCTTTTTGGTATTACACCTTTGTGTCTGGTTTGCTATTCAGTAGTAAGAAAGTAATTCAGTAACAAAAGTGATACTTTGACATTATCATTATTTGCATGACTTTGAAAAACTGTTTTCACCTCTATAAGATGTTTTATAGGTGGCACCTCCCTCCCACAAGATTAGCACGAATGAACAAGGGGAAATCCTTGATATGTTGGAAGTGTGAAGAGACCGTTGGGAATTACTACCACGTGGTGGCAATGCCCAAAGGCACAAAAATTTTGGAACTTATTAAAGAAGTGGTTGAAAGAAATTTTGCAAATAGACATAGAAGCCAAACCGGAATTTTTCTTATTGGGAATTATAGAAAGAAAACATAAGAAAGACACAAATTATTTACTACTGCATATAGTAACAGCGGCACGAATAGCCTTCGCTCAAAAATGGAAAGAGAAAGATACTCCAACCGAAGAGGAAATATTATTGAAAATTTTCAATTGCGCTGAAATGGATAGACTTACATAGGAACTCAAGGACAAAAGTGAAACCAAATACTATAAAATTTGGGAACAATTTTATGATTGGATGGACAATAAGAGGGTAGCCAAGATAAATATATAGTGTTAGAATACAATATAGATCATAGACAAATGTATATTTAAAAGATAAATAGATATATAGAAATAAGGGGAAAAGTGTAAATAGTATATTATAAATAGCGAGCAAAGTTCAAGAACTATATGTCTATATAAGTATTAATACTATTGTAAAATGTTGGAAGATGTATGGAACCAGTGACGTCATATCTGTGTCCAATGTGTTTTTAATTTTGTATTATTAATAAAAATTAAAAAAAAGAAAAACTGTTTTCAAACTATTTTCAATAGAGTGCATAATCAAAAAAATATTTAAAGATGTAAAAAAAGAACCATCACCTAAAGATTATTACAGTAAAATAATGACTCACTGTGTGAAACAGAAATGTATAGACCAGGGGTAGGCAACCTTGGCTCTTTTATGACACGTGGACTTCAACTCCCAGAATTCCTGAGCCAGCATGGCTCAGCTTGGAAACCTCTCCCTTTCCCCTCAGCATGGCTGGCTCAGGAATTCTGGGAGTTGAAGTCCACGAGTCATAAAAGAGCCAAGATTGCCTACCCCTGGTATAGACAGTGGTTTTCATTTTTCCATAGCCTGATTTTTGCATGATCACTTAATAAACCAGTTATTTGGCTTTGGGAGAAAATTACTTACTGGCCCGGTTTGAATCTTTAAATTTGATTATGAGAATTGTGTGAGTGTGAAATGATTTCTTTGGCTTATTTCCTGCTGTTTTTGAAAGTTGTTAAGTAAACCAAGGAACACCTGACTATCTGATTCCTGTCCTCATAGCCACAGTTTTTCTCTCTGGTGATCACCCTATCCAAGAACTTGGTATTTCTTGTTTTGCATTTTGATCACAAGAGGCAGTCCTACTAATTTAGTATAAGAAGTGAGTTTAATAGAATGTCTTTCATGGGAATGGAATCTTGCTTACATCTATGTAAGCTACAGGTGCCAATTGTAGCACTATTTATAGAGTATGTGTACTGTAGGTTTTGCAGTCGTTTAAATGTATTGTTTTCTTTCTTTGCATTGGAATACAGAAGATCTTTGTTTGCATTTGCTATGGTGGTCATTTTGCCTTCTCTTATGGAGAAAAGAATTATATGCCATGGGTGACTTCTGCTTTTGTTGGTGCCAACCACTACACTTCCTCACTCCTAGGACCAAGTACAATAAAATTATTACATCACTGTCAGCTGCAAAATGTGGCAAAGTCATAGTGGACTGTGATTCTGAGAAGCGCTCTAGAAAATTACCATTTTATAATGATAATATACAAATCATACGATGAGATTCCATTGCTTCTGTATTGGAGTAGTATTTCTTGCTTAACGTGTCACTTCTTTGTGCTTTTTGAGTAAGTCCTGCATATGGCATTATTGTATAAAGAGAATTCTCAAAAACAGGTCACTTGTCATGCAATTTATTAACGTAAGATTTTGTGCCATTTTGTATTAGGTTTAGCATAGTTGTTACATCCTTTTTAATCACAAGTGTTCGGTTGTGTATCCAGGCAAGTTAGAGGGAAAAAGTTACTAAAATTTACTAGTAAAATCAGCCACCTTTATAGAACTTAAAAGTAAAGCAATTCAACACTGATTTAAAATAAATGATGAATGTAGACCCAGAGAATTACTGTCTTGAAGTTTTTGTTCTTGGTATATTGTTAGAAAGTGCTGTCAAAAACAATAGAAGTATGCTGTACTTTGGATATGTTTTGCAGAATGGTACGTCAGAGCTTACAGAGCTCACATAGAGCCCTTGTCTCCAGCATTTTAAAGAAGCCACATCTTTCCCCAGGTTTCTGCAACTGCCTCACATCCCAGAAACACCTCTGGTTGAAGGAATGTCATTCACATTCTCACTGTTCTGAGGCATCTCTTTGGAATCATGTTCAGAGTTGATCCAGAGCCCCAGAAAGCATGCAAAACAACCAGTTAGAGATGAATCAGCAGAGTTGTACCTCTGAACTTTTTTCCCTTGCCAAACTTCGTAAATTTCCAAAAAGCATTTGATAACAAGAACAAGGAAGCATTGAATTTCATAACATTTGTGAATGACTTGCAATCAAGCTTGACTCTGCAGTCTGTAAGATCACAGATACTACTATATGGCAAACAGATAAAGGAAATACAAAGAAGAGCTTCCCAAAGTGCTTTAATTGTCATCAACAGGCAAATGTGATTCAGTGTAACTAAGCTTAAAGCATTTTTTTCAGAATATATCCTCACTTAATATAAGCTGCCATCTAATTTGAGTGTGAATAGTCAGGAAAAAGCTGTCCTGGGGTATCTTCTGAATGCTTTCTGGAGATTGATAGTTGAGCATAATTTAAACTCATGATTTTTTTTTAAATTTTGCACTTTATTATAGAGCATACATTTTCTTTCTACTAATAGGTATGGAGGAACGAGCAGGAGGGATATCTTGGGGAGCAAGCGGTCAGTTCAGTCCTTCATACGAACCTACAAGGGTAAGAGTATACTTTAACTGTAGCTAATGTTGATTTCAGGAATATCCAATATCTGAGGCCTTTCCTGAACCTATTTGCCATGGGGTGCTTTTAATGAGCAACTCTTAAATTATTTCCCGATACAACTAATCAAAAGATGAGATACAAGCTAGGGAGACATGAAAATGTATTACAGCAGCTGTCCAGGTTTGAGAGTGTGAGGTTTGAATCAAGAGTTCATTACTGTCCAGAGAGGACCTCAAGTTTCCCACAGTTATCCTGACTGCAGTTTCCTCATGAAGGTCTTCCATTATTTATTTATTTATTTATGAGACTTATATACCGCTTTAAGTGCAAGCACTCTCTAAGCGGTGTACACCAGTAAGCAATGTATGTATATATTTACATTGCCCCCAACAATCTGGGTCCTCATTTTACCTACCCCGGAAGGATGGAAGGCTGAGTCAACCTTGAGCCGGTGAGATTTGAACCGCTGACCTGCTGAACACAGTCAGATAAAGTGGCCTGCAGTACTGCACCCTAACTGCTGCGCCACCTCGGCTCTTAAACATGGGTGCCCCCAGCCAAAATGTGGATGTAAGGTTTTCACCAAAGTAGCTTATGTATGGATCATTCTAATATAGTTAATAACTAAATTACAAACTTGCTTATTGTCATTATGTTCTATTTAGAAAAGTCCAGTAAAGCAATTGAAGAAATTCTGACCTGTAGAATCAATAATATAGCATGCTTGTTTGAAATAGTTTGGGTCATGTTGAAGAAAATAGTTTTTACTACTAGAATTAAATGGTTTTAAATTATTAATTGAAGCACCAGCCTTTGGCCTAGAACAGGGGTCTGTGGACCAACATTGGGCCGCAGCATGCCAGAAACTGGGCTGCGCAAACAAGCGAAGCCCCATCCATGGGATGCAAGCAGCACACGAAACCATGTCCCCTCCCTCCACAGAATCGGTCCCTGGTGCCCAAAAGGCTGGGGGCCGCTGGCCTAGGCACAAAAGCTGGCTGGGTGACTTTGGGCCAGTCACTCATTCTCGACCCAACCCACCTCACAGGATAGTTGTGGTGGGTCAAGGAGGAAGAGGAAGGAGCATTGTGTATCTTTGCCACCTTGAGTTACTTATATAACAATAAAGGTGGAATTAAAATATATATATATAATCTGTGTGCCTCCAGATGTTTAATTACAATTCCCAGGAACTTCAATTATTTTGATTACAGTAATTATCAGGAATATTAGGAAATTTTAATTTAATGATGTGTTTTGGACTAGAGGTTCACTCCTCTTGTAGAATATAGAATGTTCAAGCAAAAAATGGTAACCACAAGTCACTTGAAGAGTGCTTTGATAACTAGAATTGTAATGTCTCCCTAGCTAGTTAACACAAGGGGAATCCCAGCTGCACTTAGATCATTGCGGCCAACACTACAGCATCAAACCCTCAGTATAGCTTTTTTATTTTTCATGAGAGTTTGCATACTCTTTTCCTAAGATTGGCAAGTGCTCTTTGAGATAAGTCACCACCTCCTTAATTATATGAGGAACTATATCAGGACAGCATGGTTCTTAAGTGGCACATGTGCTTCAGGTTACTAATATCTCCAAGAGCACCGTGTGTGTGTGTGTGTGTACACAGTTGTACAGTTATAATATAAACTACTGTCCAAATAGACCATTGATCAGCCTCTTATTTAGTTTTCTTATGATTATGGTTTCTTTATTTAGAAATGTAAAGGTTGGTTGATTATACTAAATGTTATTTCTCTTACAGGAAAATGGCAGCCTTCTTGGAAAAACCTCAGATATTTCAACAGCTCTGGAGAAGCTGAAACACGAGGAGGTAGGATTTGCTTCTTGTATGTATGTTCTCTTTTCTTTCCTGGTTTCCATTTGTGCTTTCCATCTGACCAGCTGGTCTTATGGAGAAAGCTCTATTTTAGTCAAAGGGTGGATAGATACAGATAGGATAGGCACAGGGGAAGGGCTACAATTCAGGAATGATGCATTCATTTGGAATGCAGGCCATCTGGCCTTACATTATTGGGGTGACCAAGATGAATCTGGGGAAGTCTTGGTGGCTGAGAAGAGAAGAGATGACAATCAGATTCCAGAAATGTCTGCTTTTAGAGATGGGATAATCCTAATAGGCAGATATTTATTGATTCCATTATATGACACCTCTTCAGTTATAGTCAGAACAGTATTTTTATCAAAAGCAAAATATCTACAATATAGAATCAACAATTTAAAACATCCAACATAAAAATACAGTATAGGATAAAGACACCAGATGGAGTAAAGTTAACCAATTTACAAAAGTATTCATACTAATACTGATATTAATTACTGATATTGTTACTAATAAAGGATTGCTATTCATAAAAGTGGTACCAGCATACTACCAAATGTTCTCCAAAATCTAAATATAACTCCAATTTTTTTAAAATAATGAAAATCGGGGATATGCTGTTACTCAAAAATCACATTAGTTATATAGAAAGCCACTGAAAGACTGCAAATTATAGATATGCTTTGTGCACAATATTTTCTTAAAACATAGTGCTGGGTTTGAATATAAAAGAGACTATATATTTTGACCTTGGTTAGGAACATCCTGTTTTCTGGGCAGCTGCTACTCCCTGCTGCCTGTCAGAGGGGAACAGGTCAGAGTCACAAGAAGGCACCCTCATGGTCATAAGCGAGTTGTCAGTGTCATTAAGGGTTTTCCTGAATGCCTGTCATGGCTGTGTGGATGATTTTGAAGTGAATAAAGTGGAGGAATCTTTGGGCCTCCCAGAAGGTAAAGGCAAAGATGGAAGTTGAGACATTCGTTCGTGATCCTTTATCCTCAGTTGCTGATGTTCCAGTGAGGACTCAGGACAAACTAGAGGGAGCGGAGACGGCCTTGTGATGAGATCAGTGGCCAGGCAGTGTTTTCTCATCATCCAGATCTCCCCAGATAAAGGAGAGAACATGAGATTACCCTGTTGCGCTCTGGTTGGCTGCTGCTCCTCCTCCTCCTTGGAGCCAGCTGCAAAGATTATGGAGTTCCACCAAGTTTACCTTCAGTGCAAATCCCAATCTGGAAAATAATAAATGTTCAGGGATTGATGATTTCTAGTCCTGTAGGATTTTGGTCATTTCTTGTTTTGGAGGTTGAGTAAAATACATTTAGGCCAATTAATCTGATAAGATAGTCCAGACTGGAAGTTTTTAGTGTGCAACTTATAATAACCAAATTGTCCATCTCCAAATACTGTCAAGAAGAGATCCTAAAACATTTTTTTTAATTGTCACCACAGTCACGTGAGCCTTTAATTAAAGGTTTCTCAAACACATATTGCTCAAGTCTGTCTCAAGTGGACTGAAGAACCATCTAACGACCTTGTTACCACTTTTACATAGGTGCCAGCAGCAGCAAGGAGCCCTAGTATCATAAACTATGGTGGCACAGAGTCTTAGCCAAAGGCTCCGAGGTGCCCAGGCGTCATTGTATGAAACAAATTTGATGTGTACATGTGGGGGTTTTGCTGCATTGGAAGGGGAGAGGACAAAAGGAAGGTACAGTTAATCATTATGAAGAGTATATTACATACACTGTGACAAAGTCTTTGATTGTGTCAAAGTGCTATTGTCTTCCTGGAATTTCATGAAAAATGACCCACTGTACTTCCATGTTTTCATTTCAGTTTAATTGAACTTAGTAAGTGGAGCTGCAAAATAATAGCTTAAATACTGTTCATTACGCACAGAGTTTTACAGATACTCCTTCCTATGATGAACATTTGAGTGATGAACGATTAGGACCCAGTGAAGAATTATCTCCAACTCCTTTCCTTAATTCAAATCTGATAGGTAAGTTGATATTATTTTCTGCATTGCTTCCTGCAAAATGGCTTTTTTCTATATTAATGCCAAGAGCAGGAGAAACTGATTCTTGTGCAATTGCTTTAAACTGGCTGGCTCAAGCTTTCCCTGTTGTAGTTTAACAGATTATTCTTTATAGTATTTAAAATTGTGTAATATTAAAACTGAGATAAAGGGGCTTTTCATAATTCTTGCCATTGCATCATTAAAAATGGAGAGTTATTTGTCATCAGAATGGTATTTTATTTTATTTTTATTATGTTCAGCCATAGGCATGTTTGCCAGGAAGGATAGTTGATTATTAATTGCTAGTGTCTTGATCAATGGAGTTTTTAAACACCTTAATGATTTTTTTACATTACAGGAGAAAAAAAAGTTGCTGAATAGAAAAGGATAATTATTCAGCAATGAACAATATACTTTTAGAAGATGAATTTTAAAATTGGTTTAGACATTCTGAAATGTTTTTTGTCAGAGGAAATTATTATGTTGAACTGATTTGGGTTTCTTCCTAATTCTAATTTTGTTAGGAAGACAACATGTAAAGAATTAAATGTGTTACTTTAACAGTAACTGTAACTGGTTATTAAAAGTCTCTGACTGACAAATTCATGTGTATCTGCATTTTCTGGCTTTGATACTGTTATTTTGCTAAATGGTTGCAATGGAGCAATAGTAACTGTCAGGGTCCACTTAAAAACCTCATCCCAAGAAAACAGAACTCTTGGAAACTGTTTCTTCCAAAAGGAACTTTTATTAGGAGAAGCTGATAGCAGGCATACTAGACAGGATCTTAGGATTTCCCGTGCAGAAAAGTGTCCCAAGCAAAACCCCACCCCATAGTTCATCCAGTCAGTTAAAATAGCCCAATCCCCAGGTGTTAGGTTCCTCGTGGGAACAGGGAGATAATATTGGGCTGTCTCTGGTTGTAGCTGTGATTCGCACCTTCTCTGGGGCTGCGGAGATAAAGTAGTCCCTGGAGGTTGCATTCCACTCCTAGGAAAAAGTGGGGAGAAAAGAATTGGGAAGCCTATTGATATGGGTTCTGACATCCTGCCTCCCTTAAAAAAAAGAGAGATCCACCTGTGGAGAGATAAAAACATACGCATATACAGTCAGGTCCAGAAATATTGGGACATCGACACAATTCGAACATCTTTGGCTCTATACACCACCACAATGGAGTTGGAATGAAACAAACACAATGTGCTTTAACTGCAGACTGTCAACTTTAATTTGAGGGTATGTACATCCAACTCAGGTGAACGGGGTAGGACTTACAGCAGTTTGCATATGTGCCTCCCACTTGTTAAGGGACCAAAGGTAATGGGACAATTGGCTTCTCAGCTGTTCCATGGCCAGGTATGTGATATTCCCTCATTACCCCAATTACAACGTGCAGATAAAAGGCCCAGAGTTCATTTCAAGTGTGCTATTTGCATTTGGAATCTGTTCCTGCCAACTCTCAAGATGAAATCCAAAGAGCTGTCACTATCAGTGAAACAAGCCATCATTAGGTTGAAGAAACAAAACAAACCCATCAGAGAGATAGCAAGAACATTAGGCGTGGCCAAAACAACTGTTTGGAACATTCTCAAAAAGAAGGAATGCACCGGTGAGCTCAGCAACACCAAAAGACCCGGGAGACCACGGAAAACAACTGTGGTGGATGACCGAAGAATTCTTTCCCTGGTGAAGAAAACACCCTTCACAACAGTTGGCCAGATCAAGAACACTCTCCAGGAGATAGGTGTATGGGTGTCAAAGTCAACAATCAAGAGAAGACTTCACCAGAGTGAATACAGAGGGTTCACCACAAGATATAAACCATTGGTGAGCCTCAAAAACAGGAAGGCCAGATTAGAGTTTGCCAAACAACATCTAACAAAGCCTTCACAGTTCTGGAACAAGATCCTATGGACAGATGAGACCAAGATCAACTTGTACCAGAGTGATGGGAAGAGAAGAGTATGGAGAAGGAAAGGAACTGCTCATGATCCTAAGCATACCACCTCATCAGTGAAGCATGGTGGTGGTAGTGTCATGGCGTGGGCATGTATAGCTGCCAATGGAACTGGTTCTCTTATATTTATTGATGATGTGACTGCTGACAAAAACAGCAGGATGAATTCTGAAGTTTTTCGGGCAATATTATCTGCTCACATTCAGCCAAATACTGCAGAACTCATTGGATGGCGCTTCACAGTGCAGATGGACACTGACCCAAAGCATACTGCAAAAGCAACCAAAGAGTTTGTAAAGGGACAGAAGTGGAATGTTATGCAATGGCCAAGTCAATCAGCTGACCTGAATCCCATTGAGCATGCATTTCACTTGCTGAAGACAAAACTGAAGGAAAAATGCCCCAAGAACAAGCAGGAACTGAAGACAGTTGCAGTAGAGGCCTGGCAGAGTATCACCAGGGATGAAACCCAGCGTCTGGTGATGTCTATGCATTCCAGACTTCAGGCTGTGATTGACTGCAAAGGATTTGCAACCAAGTATTAAGAAGGGAAAGTTTGATTTATGATTATTATTCTGTCCCATTACCTTTGGTCCCTTAACAAGTGGGAGGCACATATGCAAACTGCTGTAAGTCCTACCCCGTTCACCTGAGTTGGATGTACATACCCTCAAATTAAAGCTGACAGTCTGCAGTTAAAGCACATTGTGTTTGTTTCATTCCAACTCCATTGTGGTGGTGTATAGAGCCAAAGATGTTCGAATTGTGTCGATGTCCCAATATTTCTGGACCTGACTGTAAGTTAGTCTGGTTTGTGTGGGTATTCTGTGCGAAACTTTTTCAGCAGCTTTGGGGTGTTAATGTAGCGTTTGTGGACCCACACGTTTTGGGAAGAGGGAAGATATTTCCAGGCTACTAAGTATTGGATTGAGCCGTGATGTTTTCTGGAGTCTAGGATGACTTTTATTTCAAAATGTTGTTCTCCCTCTACCATAATGGGGGAGGAGGTGGAGCAACAGCTGATCTTAAGGGCGACTGTTGCTCTCGTTTGAGGAGGCTGCAATGGAAAATGGGGTGAATTTGCCTGAGTGACTTTGGGAGTTTCAATTCTACTGTTACTGGGTTTATGACTCTAACAATTGGAAATGTTCCTATGTATTTCGGTCTCAGCTTCTTTGATGGCTGTAGGGATTTAGGTATTTGGTTGAAAGATAAACCATTTCTCCTATTTTGAATGGCTCTGGTTCAGTTCTTTTTTTGTCTGCTTGTGCTTTGTAAGCTTGTCTAGCATCGTCTAGTGCTTTTTTAACTACCGGCCAGGCATTTTTTAATTGATCTATCCACTCCTTTAGGGAGGGGATGGCCGGTTAGTTGGGTGATAGTTCTGGCATTGGGTTGAAACTTTGGCTGGTGGCTACTTGGAAAGGGGTGTAACCCGTGCTGGAGTGAACTGCATTGTTGTAGGCAACTTCTGCAGACAGAAGTAAGTCAGTCCAGTTTGCTGGTAATTAATAAAGCATCTTAAATATTGTTCAAGTACTGAGTTCGAACATTCCGTCCCACCATTCGTTTGCGGATGATAACTAGATGACAATCTTCGGTGGTCCCTAAAAGGGATAGAAACTCTTTCCAGAACTTGGAAGTGAATTGCACCTCCCTGTCTGATATGATGCGTTGGCTATAGATAAGTTGAATGAACAGTTTTGCTAGGGTTTTGACGGTTGGGATTTTTGAGCAGGGAATGAAATGCACTTGCTTGGAAAAGAGATCTGTGACTACCCAAATAACTGTATTTCCACTGCTTTCTGGTAGTTCTACTATAAAATCCATGGAGATTTCCTTCCATGGTGCTGAGGGGCTTGCTACTGGTTGCAACAGCCTGGGTGATTTCCCCTTTAGTCTCTTTGCAGCTGCACATGTTGGGCAGCTGGCTACATAGCTTTCCAAACAATCTTATTGATTTTTCCATTTTTATATCAGAATGCTTAAGAAACAAGGTGGAGATAGGGTAATCAGTTAAGTACAATAACATCATACACATATGGCTCAAGTAATGCTCCTTAAAATTTCCCTCTCTAACAATTAGAATAATATAGTCAAGCTAATACATTTCTAAATAAAATTAATTCATTAATACATTCCTAAATAAGAATTCAATTAATCAATAGAAGTTATCAGCAACCTTTCATTAATATAAATCAAACCCTGTTTTTAGGTTTATTAATTTCCAAATACCATATCTAACTTAGCTTTAAACAAAGATATTATTTACAATTCTGGTGTCCATAATTTCTCTTATTTAAACATACTATTTCCATAATTACAGTACATTCTTAACATTTCTCAACTATATTCTATTTCTTATTCAATAATTCTTCATTTATTAATTTCATTTCTTCCATCATTACAATCTTTTTATCATTATAGCTCCACAAATTAGCTATTATGTCTAATAAGAAAAAAAGCATAGGAAAAATAGAAAAAAATAATAAAAAGGAAAAAAAACAAACCAAAGAAAAAAAGAGAAAAGAAGGAAGTTCTCCAGCACTGGAGATGGAGAATCCACCAATGGGTTTTGACTGTATTCCTGCCCAATCAGATCAGTTCAGCCAAAGTTGTCACGCCCATCCTGGACCACCGAGATCCCAGTCTTCACTGATCTCGCCCAGGAATCAGACGTGCAGCTTGGCTCTTAGGCAAGTACAGTCTCCATTGGTGGATTTTCCTTTCCAGTAGCTGAGAGATTGTAGCGAGGTAATTGGATTTTTCCCTAATTTGGATTACTTTACCTAATTCTAACCACTCCCCAAGAAATTAGAGATAGCCTTTCTCCATTGAGGGGATACTCATCCCGGCTAAGAAAGGAGCTTCTTCCTTTCCTCCACTCCCCCTCCCCCCACACCCCTCCTCCACTTCCAAAGGGAGATTAACGAGCAGTTGTGGCTAACGGCCATTACCACAGTCAGCTCGAACTGAGCCTGCGAATACAGCTCCGTTGAAGACCTCAGATTCAGGACACCTGAGA